CTGAAAGAGCGAGAATGTTTGGTGGGACGGGGATTCGAACCCGCGACCCTCAGATAGCGGGTCGAGTGCCTTAACCATCTGGCCATGCCGGGCCAGTGCTGATGAGGGTTAAGAAGGTGTAAGAAAAAATACAGCATACAGCAGTCTTTTTTTTTCCTGTTATTGTTTAAGTGAATGTCACAAAACTAGAGTTGAATGGTAAGTTTTTTTTAATTTTCAGGGAACTCAGATGCCATATATGTGTGTTAAACATAAAGTTTTTATTCCATAATTTTCTACCTTAAATGTAATTTATTTCAAATTTTGGGTAACCTTTGTCGATGTTTAAAAATACTACGTTTTAGAATTTATTAAAGTAGAATTCACTATTCTTTGACCAAACGTATTGAAAGCGTCTGATAAATGTGTCGTTTTCGTGTTAAAACTGGTAAAAGGTTCAAGTTATATACAACTGTTATTACTGAGACTTTATTTAGAAAAATTCCAGTACTTTTTGTGTTCGTGGTGCTGAAGAGTAACTTTTCATAAGCGACTAACTTTTAAAGTTCGTTTACTCATGATATTTAATTGAATTTGAAATAGTCGTCAGTTTCTAATAATTATTTACACGTAAAAATCTTACACGATTTATTGCATGAGTTTTTTCAAATACCACCTAAACATATATCAATAATTAATTACAAGCATTAAACTGCATTTTCAGATATGGGAAAATGAAAAAAAAAGCTTTTTGTTGGTTGAAAATCATAATTTCCGATTTATGAAAAGGGACAAAAGAGTGATTACGTTTTGTCTAATACTGAAAACAAGTTAAGACTGGGAGGAAATAGTTAAAGCAAGGATTTTACTGAGTTAAATAGCGAAAACTACAAGTTAAGGTTTGGAAGAAATAGTTAAAGCAGTGATTTCATTGGGTTGAATAGCGAAAACAATAAGTTAAGGTTTTGAGGAAACAGGTAAAGCAGCAAATCAGCATTATGATATTTCATCATTAATATTTGACACAAGATGTATAGAATTTTACAAATTTTAGTCATACCACAGAAAGGTTTGTGGGATTGATTTTAATGTTCAAAAATATCGGCTAAAATATAGTTATACAATAAATATGTGTCAATATTGATTAATATTTAATTTTCTATCTTCGTTTAAGGCAAGATTAAAGAATTTCAATAGGTGTACATCGTGACCTGTGAACTTTTAACTGTACACCAATTCCCTATAGCTCTGAATGACCAATACTTATGAAACAAGGTCCATAAAATGTTCATTTTATTTCTGTTGTTCATCGTATATGTATATATATAATATTTTGATACATTTTCTAATCTTTTTGCGAAAGTTATTATTTTCCACAAGTTTAAACTAGTTTGTGTTCCTATACGACATCAGGAGAATACTGGTCATTTGATAAACATAAGTTTATTCCAATCACTCTGAATCATAATAGTCATGCTAAGACATAAAATAGAATAAAAATAAATAATAGCCCAGAATTTAGGTGTCTAATACTCATAATTAATTCCTGTGCACGTGTAAAAAGTAAAAAAATACTCCTGATATCAATTACAATACATACATGTGATTGACATTTTGAAGGTTATAGTAATTTAAATTCAAAATCAGTGGAAAATAAAGAACCTTGAATAAATAATCAATACAAATATACAACTTCAAATATTATTACAAGACAGAGGTTTCGCCAAACAGTTTAGCACTATTGACTATCTTAAAATGTCTGAGGAAGATATCGCATAAAAATATTAGACATTTGAAATATATATCTTGAAGGCAACAAATAGTATGAGCTGTATTAAAGCTAATTCTGTGCATATCAGAAAGTTAACCAGTGGTTTCATTAGGTTGAATAGAGAGAACTACGAACGAGTTAAGGTTTGAAGGAAATAGATAAAGCAGTGATTTCGCTGGGTTTAATTCTGTAATTCGCAGCTTATGAACGAAATACAAACGACGAAAAATGATTGAGGTAAAAACTAGAATCCAGCACAGCAAGAAATTGTAAATAAAATATGAAATACCTAAGACCCGTTATTATACAATAGTACACGATACGAATTATTTAATTTAATTTTAATTCTTAATTGATTTGAATTCTTTCTGTTTAATTCTTTCGAAGAGCTGTTATGACAAATCACACAGTATTTGAGTTAAATAGACGTCGGTTTAATCCACTATTGCTTTTTTTTTGTAATGACACTGTTCCGTATAAATACCAATTAATATTGAACCAGCATTTGGTTCAACATGTGCCTTTCACTACACATGTTAAAGAGTTTTTTAGTTTTGTGTTTTATATAATCAAATCATAGCACAGGATGAGGTATGAGTAATTTAGTTTCTTTTCAGTTAAGGTCTTTTGGGTTTTTCTGATGCGTATATTCTGAAACGTAATTGGACATTGATACTATGCTATCTATATATATGGCAAGTTGACTGATTTCGAAATAATTTAATATCAATCAGTCATCTATGCAAAAGCCATGAAAATCTAAATTAGTTATAAGAACAGTCAGAGCGGTTATAAGAAAATCTGACATGAAACATTAGTAAGCGCTGATACCTGCTAACCTCCAAATCTTATCAATGCTAAAGCATAATGAAATTTATCTGAGTAAAAGAGGTTTCTATGCGCATGGTTCGTTAATAGAACCTTTTCCTTATATTTTATTCCTTAGGTTAGGTTACCAAAATACTAAGCTATTAATAACTGAAATATTCGTTAATGACATTTACCCTTCAATCCAAAAAAACAAAAAGGTTTATCCAAACATCATCTAATAATTACAATTATAAAGGTAAAATAGTTTGTGGTTTAAAACAAATCCAAAAGCTGATCCACAATACCACTCGTTGATAGTGTCGTTACTACGACTGTTGTTGTTGGCGGAGTTGTAGTTGTTACAGTCGTTGTAGGTGGCGTTGTGGTTGGTACTGTCGTTGTTGTCGGTGTGGTGGTTGGTACTGTCGTTGTAGGTGGCGTTGTAGTTGGTACCGTCGTTGTCGTCGGTGTGGTGGTTGGTACTGTCGTTGTTGTTGGCGTTGTAGTTGGTACCGTTGTTGTCGTCGGTGTTGTGGTTGGTACTGTCGTTGTTGTTGGCGTTGTAGTTGGTACCGTCGTTGTTGGTAGCGTTGTGGTTGGTACTGTCGTTGTTGTCGGTGTGGTGGTTGGTACTGTCGTTGTTGTTGGCGTTGTAGTTGGTACCGTCGTTGTTGGTAGCGTTGTGGTGGTTGGTACTGTCGTTGTGGTTGGTACTGTCGTTGTTGTCGGTGTGGTGGTTGGTACTGTCGTTGTTGTTGGCGTTGTAGTTGGTACCGTTGTTGTTGGTGGTCGTTGTGGTTGGTACTGTCGTTGTTGTCGGTACCGTGGTTGTCGTCGGTGTTGTGGTTGGTACTGTCGTTGTTGTTGGCGTTGTAGTTGGTACCGTTGTTGTCGTCGGTGTTGTGGTTGGTACTGTCGTTGTTGTTGGCGTTGTAGTTGGTACCGTTGTTGTCGTCGGTGTTGTGGTTGGTACAGTCGTTGTTGTCGGTGTTGTGGTTGGTACCGTGGTTGTGGTTGGTACCGTTGTTGTTGTCGGCGTTGTGGTTGGTACAGTCGTTGTTGTCGGTGTTGTTGTTGGTACCGTGGTTGTTGTCGGTGTTGTGGTTGGTACTGTTGTAGTTGTTGGCGTTGTGGTTGGTACCGTAGTTGTTGTTGGTGTTGTGGTTGGTACAGTCGTTGTTGTCGGTGTTGTGGTTGGTACCGTGGTTGTTGTTGGTGTTGTGGTTGGTACCGTCGTTGTTGTTGGTAACGTTGTTGTTGATGGTGTTGTGGTTGGTAAGGTCGTTGTTGGTGGTGTTGTAGTACGTATTGTTGTCGTTGGAGCTTTTGTGGTTGTTGCAATAATTGGTGCGGCAGAAATAACAGGCGCCAGAGTTGTACTTGGTATCGTAACCAGTGGTGTTGCTGGTGGCAATGTCAAAAAGTTGAAATTTGTAGTTACTCCGCCTAGAGAACCTCCAAGCAATAAGCTAGCGAGGAGTGTAGTTAAAGGCAGAACCGAAACAGCAAATAAAAGCACAAAAAATCCAAAAACTAAGCCCATTTGGATTTTTCTTTGGAGTATCCATAATTTTATCGGGCTAAATATGGCCAATAAGTTGTACCCTCCAAACACGGGCGTAAGTCCTAAACGTGGTACTACTGGAAATAGGCTTATTACTGGTTGTCGGCGTACTGTGAAGATAAACCGCTTGTTCCTAGTTAGTTCAGTATGTCGACTTTCAAGTGACGTTGAGGATTGCTCTCTAGGAACCTGCCAGTCAGCTGGAATTGACAAAACACAGCAAAGTGAACTCAGTTAATCTGATTTCCCTTTTTAGAACAATTATAATTTTGTTTTAAAATGTGACCAAAAAGCAAAAACAAACAGACAGGGAAAATGAGCTTGAAGTATGGTTACAAAGTTACGTCTTTTAAAAGTTTAAAATGGATGTTTCCAATTAATGTCTTACTGATGTCCACTCGTACGGTCACCACCTATATCCCCAGAAGGTGATCGTATGGGTCCTGACAACATCAAGTTCTTAAATATCACACAAAAGCTTAATGCTAATTTTTGATGCAGTTCAACCTTATTAACACAATACCCATTTACCTAAAACCAAATGGTTTTCTTTGAAACTTATCTCAGCATATGTAAGACAACCAGAAGAGTCAATCAAAGCACTGCACAGAGTCCATTAGTGTCAACGATTGAAAGTTTACCACAAATGTAAATTATTTTGTCGTATGCTTATTAGTAGATATTACATTATATCTGAAATTTGTGATTAATTAACTAGCCACTCTCCTTTGAGCTATCAATTGCATGAATACAAGACACAAACCAAAGCAGTCATAATAATCTAATTACCTTGAACACTGAAAATCGTGCATTCGCGAAACAAAATGTAGGTTTTCTTATGATGTAAACATTAATTGGTTTAAATATTGTGTCATGATCAAAACTTTCCAAACTGATCATTCCTGTACGTTTGACTATTGCATCTTGTGAGTATGAAAAAGTTTAATTTTTAATGAGTCAGTGTTTAATCATATAAATATAACAGTACTGTCTATTTATATCCATGTAACTACTTCGCAGAATGTGGATGGATCTTCACCAAAATTGGTATGGAGGTTCATTAGGTCCATAAACATTTTCAGTTCTGAATTTTTCTGTTTTTATGAGCGTTTTTTACCAATATTTCGACCTCTGTAAATGGATCTTCACTAAATTTGGTATGGAGGTTCACTGGGTTTATGGGGAAATGCATGCAAATGTTCAGTTTAGGCATTTGGCGTTTTGCGGTTTTTGTGGGCGTTCTTGCGTTTTTTTTACCAATACTTCGCTCCCTGTTGATGGGTTTTCACTAAATTTGGCATGAAGGTTTGTTGGATCCATGCGAAGATACATGCAAATTTGCGGTTTCAGATTTTGTATTTTGAAGTTATTGCGTTTTTTAAAATTACATATAAGTGAAGCAACTTTTCATGTCCTAAGATAACCTTTGTTAATCATGAATTTACATAACTTCCGTCCAAGAGACGGGTACTCCAGCTAGCTAGTAATATAATTTTCAGTTACATTAACAATTTAATTAGAAACTAAAGTTTTGTTATCACATAAAGACATTTATTTTCTATCTGAACAGGTGTTTCCAGTTTAATATATGCAACATGTTCGTTTTCCAAATTGAAAGTGATATTGCAGACATCAATGATAGACGTAAATCATAAATGATAAAGAATACAAACCCTCTGCACGTTGGGACACAACTAAAAATTAGTTTCAGTAAATTCAATTTTGAAGATTCTAATTTCGAAATTTTCGTCCAAATTAGGTATGCATATTGAGGCTGCAAAGTCATCTTTTGAAGAAATATATATATAGTTAATGGATCTGAAGTTTGGTAAATATCTGAATATGTATGTTTTTGATGGTGAACCATATATATATCAATGGATTTGGGTTAATGGCTTAACAAAATGATTATAACGTGAAAGTTATATTTACAAGATTATTTTGAAATAGTTGTTATGGAATAGTATATTTTTCACGTACAGTTAAGTAAAATGATTTAATATACAGATTTATTTAATTTAACAATATTAGACTTTTTGTAATGAATACTGTTACAGGGATAGATCGAAGTTAAGGACAACCTAGATAAGTCATAACGAACCAAAACATTGTACATTACCATTATTTAATTTTGATTGGTCAACAATGACAAAGTGTTCATGTCCAGTCATATTTCGCAAGCGATTGCGAAGCACTTTGTTTGTGATTCCGATTATTATTTTTGTTTTTAAGAGTATATATATATATATATATATATGTATGTATGTATTGCAATTATTTTCTTATTTTATAAATTAGAATTGTTTGTGCAAAGTTACACCAAAGGATATTCGTGTATAGCTGTCACTCGTTAATTTTGAACTGATATACTATAGAAGGCAGCTAAACCACAGCACTCACCGCCATCTCTTGGATTACTCTTTTCCAAAGGGCGGTATTTGACAGTTACTTTTAGAGTGTACACAAACCCCCAAGGAATACATGCAAGGATTTTGATACCCATGTTGGGCAGAACAAAAATAGTCAATTGCGTAGCTTTGTATTTAACAACAAAACAAATAAACAAATCGACCCAAATTATTATTATAACCCCAAGGTAATATAAGTTAGTCTTCTGAATGTCTGTTTAACGTAGGATTCCTGAGAGGAAACATGGTAGCCTTTTTTATTTATTTATGAAGCATAATATAACTTTGCCAACAATAAATTCTACAATAACCTGAGTGATAAAATTTACAAAAAATACTGTGACGAATTTATTGTTATATATTTATTTTTAATATCAACGTTTGTTTAGATTAAGTTTATATTTAGAAACATACATAGCTTATACTGTTAAGTATGTATTGAGAACCTCCCGCCTATTCTCCAAAGTTGTAGAAGATTCTTGAGAGTAAGAATCAACAATATATGTGTGTATGTAAACGCTTAAATTTGTATTGTTACGTAAAACTGAAAATTCTAGGAAGCCTTCCACACGCCTATAAATATAACCAACGCGCCGCGCCAAAAGAGAGTATCTATTATTAGTTTGCTATAGTCAGTGTGCTATAAACTTTGGAAGCTATAACTGTGATTGTTATAACCCTTATCAATCGGAAAACTTCAGATATTTGACCAGGAATATTTATAAATTTCGAACATTCCAAACTGCCCCCAGTGGACTTACAACGCTAGAAACCGGTTTTCGATACCCGTGGTGGGCAGAGCACAGATAGCCCATTGTGTAGCTTTGTGCTTAATTACAAACAAACAAACATTCCAAACTATTTAACTTCAGTGTATTCTCATCGGACATTAATACTTTTACAAAAACATTACCTAACGTCATCGGTGGAAACTCAACCTCTAATAGGCGTACGAATAGTGAAGACTACAAGGTCAACTGGCTCCCTGTTAAGTGAAATATACCTACGTCAACTCGTAATCAACTCGCTCAGCGTGAACCCTCGATAAGATGTCGAAGAAGTTCCAGATTAAAAGGAATACTTTATATTGCTTGTAAGTTTGTGAAACTTTTGTTTATAAATCATTGTTTGTAATAACTATTTGTAATAACTGTTATTGTAAATTGTATTGTTGTGTGTATATTAAAACGTATTCGTGTTAAAAAGAAAACTGTGTGTATCAATCTTGTTGGCAAATATCGTAAACTGATTATATATCGGCATATATTTAAATAATAAATCCAAAGTATAATTTAACTACTAAATTTAAATTATCAGTTAACTCAGTTTCGAACTATTTGAAATTCTAATACGTAACAATATTAAAAAATGTTTTGAACTATCAAAGATTCCAGTCTTAGTTTGAATGATGACAATGATAGTACTTGCAATCTAATTTGTGCTGACCAGGTGGCGATGTAACATTGTATTTCAAAACTGAATAAACGTAATAAATTACTGCAAGCAATATACATAATGAGGCCTGTCCATGTATAAGATAAGTTTGGTGTTTAAAATACATCACAAGGTTATGTTAAGTCACTTTAACCAGGATATCGACAAATAAAGTTTTGTTAATTTATTTGTAAATAAGTTGGTGTGTATATCAGTATTCGTCACAAAAGCTTTTATGAACAAATCATAATATACAAGGTAAATGAAGGTTTGATGTTAAGATTTAGGGTTAAAGGCCAAGTCAAGGTGTCATTCAATTCAATATTACTATAATTCTATTATGACAGCTTCCTAATCTGATCGTCAAATGTAATAAAAAAGAAGGCAGAGATATCTAAATTTAGTAACTTCATTCGAGAGTTTTTATTTTTGCAACCATTTTAAGGTTATTCATAACGTACTTTCGTAGAGATGAAAACCAAGTTTTTTTCTTACGTTTTTCAGCATTTAACTTTCACGGCGATAAATTACAAAATGGTAAAGGTTTTATATTGAATCACAAAATAACTCCGTTTATTAGTTAAAGCACACAGCTTCAGTTATAATTCGATTCTAACTATGATATATATATTTCAAGTCAAGTCTAGTAAATTAGATGTAAGAAGCTATGATGAAATATACAGCTGTTTGAACAGAATATTCTTCTGAAGATACATATTTCACATACATAGTCTTAAACCCACTTATATATATATATTATTTTGGCCTTACCTTTTCCAATATGAAAATGTGCAACTAGCAGAACACTTGTAATAAAACAGGACAGTAAACGAGTGATATGCATTATTATACAAACGATTAATTCACACCTTTAGCTCAGAGTTGTCTGAATATGGTACAACACTCTAGTCTAAATGTGGCAGTAAAAGACCAAACGCGCAGCTCAAATCAACTTAATCACCCCCACCTGTCTGAAAGTTACATACACTCCATATGCACAGTTGAACGTGTTATAGTGCTACATGATTGTTTAGAATGGGAGCACGCATTCCAAGGACGCCTCACAATATCGCACGCAGCGTTTGTTTATCTTTGTAGTGCGGTAAAAACCTGACATATGATCGCGTTTTTGTCATG